CATTTTTTCAAAACACCTCATACTTCTGCAAAAAACATAAATTCATTTCTCAAAAAATACAGGTAAACTCACGGACCATATATCTCATGATAAAAATTGACCAAAAAAAATTCCTGCTTTTCTTTATATATATATATTTTGTTTCTTTAAATCCAATTTCGTTTTTGATTTTTTAAAAATCCTAAACAAAGTCGGATTAAAAAATATATAAATGGGGTTGTAGGGCTTAAAATTCCCTACAACCCCATATTTGTTTTTGTTTTTTTTACCTATTATCTAATTCAGGAAAATTCGTGTAAGATCGCGTCCGCGGTGCGGACGAGGTAGGCCGCGGATGCGGACCCGTTTGGGTCCGCGATCCGAGGTCGACCTCGTGGACGCGTCCGCGGGTGTTTCGTAGTTTGAAGGTGCCGAGATAGGAGCTTCGAAATCTAAAGAAAGATGCTATAGTACTCATATGTGAGGAGGAGGGTGTTACATACACCACCCTCGATGTTGCGAAGTAGGCGGTTACACAGGCATGGGCAGATAAGGCGGTGGCTGATGAAGAGTTAAGTAACGACTTAGGTAAGCCTGACATGGTAGTCGAGGTTACCGATGGTGATGACGAGTCGGAAAAGAATGGGGGGTGTGACTCGGCTGAATCCTCGGGTCACCCCCCGACGCGACTTTGTTATGGAATTTGGTGATTATTTCAATTTATTTGTCTGCGTTTTTGTCGGGAAGGTATTGCGTGGTTGCGATGTAAAGAGGTGAACAGCTTGATGAGTTTTGTTGTATGTTGTCTTATTTTTCTTGGTTTGATTTCTTGGTGTAGCAAGTTATTCGGTTTATTTGTTGATGTCCTTTCCTTCTCTCTGGATTATAATGGATTGGATGCACGGAATGGACCCGTGGTGTGCGCGCTCGTTTCACCTTCAAGTTGGTGTAAGCATGTTTACGTTGGCAGTACGCGTCGTGATCTTCATAGCCGGTGGAGAGAGCATGTCTATAGGAGTTGTAGTAGGCAGGGTCTGGCAGGCTGCTGATGGTGGGAAGCAAAATGAGAGACTCTACCGGTGGCTACGTCGTTGCGGGATTTCTAGTTATGTTATTATTCCATTATGTCATTGCGAGGTCAAGGACTTGACGATCACCGAGAAATTCTTTATTCGGCATTTGTGTCTCGCTCTGAATACTAGAGACAAACCTAGGCGTGCACGGAGACCTAGGCCTGGATTGAGGGAGCGACTGCGAAGGATGAGATCGCAAGAGTTGATGAACTGTGGGAATGTGAATGTCAGTCAGGATCTGATTCTTGGAGGTGGTTTGGTGTGTAAGTTTCATCCTGCGATTGGAGTATCATCCGTTAGTCTAACCGATATTTTGAAGAGTTGCGTGGAGCAACGTGTTGGTTTGATTTTCATTCGATGTACTGGGGTTATTTGTTGGTGAACAGATGGAAGGTACTGAAGAGGCTTTTTGGAGGGAGTTATGTTAGTTGCGATTTCGGTCTTAAGGAGCTTCTGTATTCTCATAAGTGGCTGAGAGGTGGTTTAGTTCTGGTTTTTTATCCAATCAAACAGTTTTTGAGTCGCTCGTTGGCTTTGAAGGTTCCGTTGGCCGAATTCTTGAGTAAACCGAGTAGTAGGGTGGGTTTGAAACTTTGGGATTTTGACCGTCTGATTGCCGCATATACAACAGTAACGACTTCAGTGAAAAACGAAAGAGAGTTCGTTTGCGATGCATTTTGTCCCACCATTTTTTATCTCGATTTTTAGATTCAGGTATGGAAACGGTTGGTGGTTCGTGTCTGGTACAACGATTCTGTCAGCAAGGTGAAGGTTCGTCAGTTGTGTGCACGTTTGCTGAGCAGTATGGATTTACAGGCCAGTTGGAAAGACATGCGACGATGCGTGTCGTCTGGCGCAAAAACAAGAGTGTTGGCGATTTTTTTTTTAATTATTTTTTAACTAATTTTTAAAAAAAATATTCTGCTAGAAAACGGGACCAGCGTCCCCTGAGATACAATGTCAAATTGGTAGATCGGCACGTGCTGGGAACCGGGCCCAACGTCCCTCATGAAAATCCAATGATGCTACTGATGCTATAAGGAGATGATGATGATGATGATGATGATGATGATGATGATGATGATGATGATGATAAAAAAAAAGCAATGAACGAAATAAGCAAAGTCTGACCTCTCAATCCATGAGCAACTTGTAGTCTCCCCTAAACCAGGTACAACACTTTAGAAGTCGTATCATCCTAGCTAATACTAGTCATAGCTTTCGTGTTTTCATTACCAAGACTATACCCGGCCCCTTACACAAATTTTGAAAATTCTCCTGGGAGGAGGAACTGCAATGTTCGTGTAAAGTTGTGTCTCATTCTTCTCTACCTCGCTTGGATGGGAACGTTTGCTTTCAGATTGGTGATTTTTGTGATGTCTTGCCTACTTGGATGATGAACTTGAGGAATGTGCTTCGACCGAGCAACATACGGACGACAGGGTGTCTGCGCTCACAAATCTTGCTTTTCTTTTCCTCACTTTCCTCCAAGGACCTCCCTTCCTTCCTGTTTGGAATGTGCCCTCTCTTCGAGTGATATTGAGGAATGTTTCGTGAGGATTTCGATGCAGTCAACAAGCATTTGTGAAGATGATGTACGTCCTTTTTGTCAATTATTGACCAGGCTGGTATGTTGTCCCATCGATCACAATTTAGGGGACACGCTTGTGTGTTGTCCTAAGGTTTATCAGAGTGAGATGCAAAAATTGTTTTAGAAAAATCCAGCGTTTGAGATTTGTGCCCGAAAGCAGGAAGATGTCGTTGAGATCTCGGCTAGCGTGTATCAGAAGAGAGGTTTGACATTTGTGGGTCGGCGGGAGAAGAGTGGTGATTTTGAATATTCCTACTGCATTCTCAAACATAAGGATATTACGAGAGACCAATTTGTCCGTCATTTTCTGAATGTGCTGTTAGAGGCGGTCGTGCGGTTTCGAAAATTTGTCCATCCTTTTCTGAATGTGCTGTTGGAGACGGCCGTGTGGTTTCGAAACTATGAAATTTGCAAGTTCATAAACATTTGAATCTTCGAAGTGCACACACGCTACTGAACAAATTAAAAGAAGTTTATCTGGGACTGTCCGAGTCGGTGTTTCTTTTAGGTACTTCCTTCGATGTCAAAGATATGTTCTCCAATCTGCCACATCATTCTATTTTGAATGAAGTTCGGTGGGTCGTAGACTTTTGGAGATGTAAGGGAGCTAAGGGTGTTGGTGTCCGGCAGCAAGGGAAAGGTCCGAAAGTTTTGTTTGGACGATGTGAATCAGGGTGGAAGAATGTGTCTTTTGATTTGATCTTTTCGATTATTTCTTTCGAGTTATGTAATACTTTTGTGTGGGCAGTGAGACGGTTGTTGAAGCAGAATATGGGTATACCTATAGGAAAGTCATCGAGCCCAGCATTAGCATGTCTTTTGTGTGAGTTCAATGAGTTTAACTTTTGTCGGGTCTGGGAAATGATCGAAAGTTGTTTCGAGGATGTAGGTTGGTAGATGACGTTTCTGTATTTGTTGTGTGCAGGAAGAATGACAGGTGTTCCTTTCAAAGAGGGTTGGACCTGATCGAATCGTTTAATCGGTGTTATGATACTAATTTGACTTTTGAACGAACAGGATTTGGTAATGGTTGGGATTACCGTGGCTGTGTGCT